TTTACCTTTGCCTAAGGGCTTAGACATATAATCAAGTTACCAGAGCTTTAAAAAGTTATCATGAGTCAACCAAGTTGTGTTAATATCCATGTGTACACTGACAATTTGAGGCAAAAGTGAGATGATTCAAGTTCATGCAGCTTGCAATCATTTCCTTGGTGTATTTTTCTTCTTCTGACACCTGTCTCTGAGTTATTCCACTGGCAACATCTTAGCTCCGTCATTGCTCTGACTTTTCTGTACAGCTCAAAGTCATCAATAATTTAATCCCATCCTCTAGATCCAATTCATTGTCTCAAAAAAAATCAAATCCCATTTTTTTCTTTAGTTTGGGGATGTTTTTTGTTTTTAAAGCTCTCAATTGTGTGATTATATTGTTCATAAAGCATATTTTGATAAGATAGGAGACCTCCTTATATTGCTATCATTGCCCTCTTCCTCAAAAGCACTTTCTCTTTTTTCATAAGTGGGAGAATCTCTCTGTCAGAATATACAGAGCTACCAGATTATCCTCCTTCAGAGGCTTCACAGAACTAATCTCTGCCATAATACATATAGAAAACTTACTTAAACAACAACCCACCATGGTTATGCAAGGGATGAGTCATAATGCTGGGATCGAATATTTAAAAATGCTTTATTTTCTATTGCACTGCTACCTTGATCCCTTTCTTATTCCTTTTTTTCTGCTCATATTCTCTCATCCTTTCGACTGACAGCAAGTTCTTTTAAGCAGAGTTTGTCATTCACTTTGTGACTGTACAGTGCTTAGTACAATAGGGTCTCAAGTAGTTTTCCCTCTTAGTTGTTTTTTGCAAAACATGCTAAACCATAACACAGCAGAGCATCCCACAGATTTGGGGAAAGTTTAGCTCTGACTCTGAGGGGTCTGTTTGTTTGTTTGCTAACTAGGCTGAGCTCTGCAGCAGCCCTTTTGGAAACAATTTGCATATTGCCAAAGTTTTTCTGAAGAGTCACTGTGAAAAGTTATCATTCCTTTAAAAATACCTATTCATGCTACTTTCTCTTAGCAAAACAACAGGAAAGCAAACATTTAGGCCAATATCGTGAAAATGTGAGTGGAAAGGTGGAAATGGGGGGAGGAGTGGGGGGGTTAGTGGAGGGGGTTGGTTTTGATTTGGGTTTTCTTTGTTGGGTTTTTTTTCCCCCTGATAAAATACCTGGTACAACTGTTTACCTGGTTCATGACTGCCAAAATCTAGGCTTCTGCAAACCTAAAGGCTATTTTAAAAAACTCTGCTTTCATCCAGCTGTTGATTGGATTAGCACCTTGGAAACCTGTTAATGTTGAGCTGGGTGCTGCGATCACAGAATCATAGAATGCATAGATCAAGCTTGCCAAAGTCACGTCAAGGGGTAAAGAGAAGACTGGTTTCCTATATAATCTCCTTTTTAATCACATTGCCACCCTAAAGCTCCTGAGCTGTTCTAAAATTTCACTCCTCCTCTTATTTGAACACCCCTGTGGCTGTAGATGCCAGAGCAATGCTTGATTAGCATTAAATAACAACCAAAAAAAAAATTCTAATCAACACTGGTTTTGTCTTTTAAATGCAAACATAGCAGAGGATGTCAGTGACTACTGTAGGAGCTGGTAGCCCTCCTTGTATAGAATCATAGAATCATAGAATGTTTAGGTTGGAAAATACCTTTAAGATCATCCAGTCCAACCACTAACCTAACATTACCAAGTCCACCACTAAACCAATTAAGGGTAGAGTAGAAACCCCTTGCTTCCTGGCTTGGTGGCTGGATCATTTATAATGAAAGTGAAAACTAGGAATCATTAAGATTGGAAAGGACCTCTAAGATCATCAGTCCAATCATCAACCCAACACCACCATGCCCACTAAACCATGTCCCCAAGTGCCACATCTACATGTTTTTTGAACACTTCCAGGGATGGGGACTCCACAACCTCTCTGGGCAGCCTGTTCCAATGCTTGACCACTCTTTCCATGAAGAAATTTTTCCCAATACCCAATCTAAACCTCCCCTGGCGCAGCTTGAGCCCATTTCCTCTTGTCCCATCGCTAGCTACTTGGGAGAAGAGACCAACACCCACCTCGCTAGAACCTCCTTTCAGGTAGTTGTAGAGAGCGATAAGGTCTCCCCTGAGCCTCCTCTTCTCCAGACTAAACAACCTCAGTTCCCTCAGCTGCTCCTATAGTAATTGTGGGAGAGCACAGTTTTACAGTATTTAAGTGTAAGTGTGTGTGTAGCTGTCAAATGGCCAAGCATTGCAGGGCTCATGCCAAGGACCGGAGAGGACATCAGGACTAGACTTGGCAGTTGCCAGGCTGTGAAGTGTCCATGGCCCTTACACAAGTCAACAATTCCTGCTTGATATCCGCTTAATGAATACACGGTGTCTTTCCTTTTTTTCTTTGTTAAAATACATTTCTTCAGTTTGTCGTAAGCACCAAATATACATGACAAGCAATTAATTAGAATTAGTTTGGTCTTTCCATAAAAATTCTACCCTTAAATAAATAACTTTAACATCAATATAACATTGTAGAGCATTCTCAGAACAGAATTTTGTGCTTTCTTCAACATAATTCAAAATAATGACATTGCTTAGACATGTGGAGAAAACTTCACAGATAAGAAATTTTCACATTCACCAGCTGTGGCCATTCTGCCAAACTGAGGTCCCTACTGATGGTGCATTTGTGGGAGTGCTTCTGATTTTCTAATTGTGTGGCCCATACATTTCATTCTGGTCAGCTAATTATGAAACAAGACAATCTGTATGCCCTGTTGGCAAATTATAATTAAAATTTGCCAATGTCAGCAGTTTCACTTCATGCTAAAATTTAACATTTTGCATTTTGCCTTTGTTCTGAAACAGTTTGAAAGATTTTGAGTGAAATGAAACTTTTATGGAAATAACCTTTCAAAATTTTTTTTCTATTATTTTATTTCCTAGCACTCAAGAAGTAGTATTACATCACAAGGACGTAATATACCATCTAAAATCATGTCCTAACAGGATATGTGACGTTGTTCTGACTGTTTCAACAAGATTAGAAGATAAGCAATTAGCAATATCTGTGTATAAATTCTGAATATTGAAATGAATTTTTCCTCTTATTGGCACAGTGAGGACTGAGCTTTCCATATTCAACGTATAAATCAAATAAAAACCATAAAGATATTTCTCCTTTTGGATTTAACATTCTCTTCAGCATTAAATGAATGAAGAGATGAAAAATATATCTAGGAGAAGAACCCAGTATTACAAATGAAGAGTTTATATATATATGTGCAGTCACATGTATTTCTTTATTCCTTATAAGATCTTGCTGTATGTTTAATTACTGCTTCATGCTTTCATTTAATAAGTAATAATACAATAAGTGTCTACTTGAAGGAACTTGTTTGATTTTTTTTTAAGAAGATACTTATTTTCAGGAATTTGGAGAGTTATCTGTCCTAATGATATCCAATTCATAAGTGGGTTACCCCATTATAGAGAAACGCATGGTACTTGGGTGATCACTTTTATTTTTGAGGAAGACATAATATAAAGGCCATGACTGAATTTGCAAGTGTAGTGATAGCTATATTAACCCAGTGAGAATTTAGTGCAGCAACAGACCAAACACATCAACAGATTTTACACTATGAACGTAATGCTGCAGTCAAAATCTGTATTTAAGTTCCAACTGTAATGACCAAAGTTAAGCGTGGGTATAGAAAACTAACAAAAAAAAAAAAGAAATGAAAGATATCTAAAGGCACCACCTAATTTAACTAAGGAGTTTCTACCTGCAAGTAAACAAAAATAGCAAAAAACCTCCTATGTACAGAGCAGTGTTTCTTACTTGAAGGACCTAGTCTCTTGAAGATGATACACTTCTAATACTACAGAAGATAAGACACATACTGTCTTGAAGAAGAAGGAGCTCATATGATCACATATGACCACTAACAGCATGAAAAGTATGGCTTCATATTATAAGAATACCTCATAGAAGCTACTCTAATATAATAAGTGATAGGGTAGTTGGTAAATATTTGTCAAGCATGTCATTAAAACAAGAAATGATTTTTTAAACAAACTGGGTTTGTAAACCTGCCAAGTAAGGAGGAAAAGAAAAGGAAGAAAGAATAAATAGATGGGGTAATTATTAACATGACTTATCTCACTTTTATTAGGCAGTTTCCCATGAAAGATGAGGAATTGGGGGCTACAATAGCATATTTTACATACATATATTACTGCAGCTCTTCCAAATTGCAGTGGAAGGAGATGAAGACCTGCAGAATCTCAGACAGGCTCAATTTCAGAAGCTCTTGGGGAAAGATCCATACTGTTCTCCAGAGCAACAACAAAAACTTGTGTAACCCTGGGAGGAAATGTAGTTTCCTTAGCTGTCATGAATGGACAATGCACATCCACTTGCCCCTATTTTCCTTGAATAGTCAATGTATTTGTACTGTAGTTTCATCATAGTTTTTATCTAAGTTTGAATTTTTTTTCATCTTAAAGTGGTTGAATACATTCTTAGCTCATATAAAAATACTCAGTAGTTTACGAAATGAATTAATTGTAAGTGTATGCTTCCCCTTTTCTTGGATTGCCCTGATGTCAGACTTTGAATTTTTTTCCATATTCGAGAAGCGAAGAAACTCCCAACTTCTGCTTTCCACAGAAAATTTACATGACCATGTCTGTCCCACTGGGAAAATAAATGTAATGTTGAGTTTGATTCATGTGATTTGTCAATATAATTAAAATAAATTGAATCATTATGATTTTTTGGATGTGTGTTGGGACTGTGGCCAACCCAAGACATGACCAGCACTGTAAATGATCTCGGTGGCCTGGAAGATGAAATTCCAATTTTAGCAATTCTGGCCTGACCCGAAAGGCATCTTGCCCCCCTAGGGGAGATAGGAATTATGTTTCTGACTTTTTTTTTCTTAATAGGATGAGGACCAGTTAGGCAGCATCCCTTCTGGACTGCAGAATGGAGGATAGTAAAAGTGTTGCCATGCCCCATGGTCAGTGGAAAATATGATGCATTAACTGTGGAAGTGCTGTAGAAAGCTAACACCTGCCCTGTCCATGGTGCGATTGCCGTGTCAGGCTTAATGGCTGGATGTTTGTTTTCTTCTTATTTAAAGGCAGCGTTGCTTTGAGGTTGGTTTACGACACCATGCCTTGCTTGGCAGCAGAGTGGCACCGAGGAACTGCAGTGCTGGTGGGGAAGGGTTTGGACATGCCCTTTCTGAAGAGGGTTGAGTGTTGGGGGACCCTCGAGTGTCCTGGGGGCTGGGGCTTGGGGTGGGGCGTTCATCGCAGTCTCACCTTTCATTGATGCTGTGATAACATCAATGGTTTTGCCCACAGGCCACTGTTGCGTCAACCATAACTCTACACTCAACTTCTGTCTGCTTGTTGCTGCCTGTCTTTTGCCACCGTTGCCATTGGGACCTCTGTCAGAAGTTGTGGCAAAGGGAAGTTTTAAAGAGTAGCCAAATTTGAAAGGCTCTGGGGAGGTTACAGGGCCTCTGGGTATTTTCCTAACACACAAGATTTTTCAAAAAATTCAAGCAAAGTTTGAGTGCTTTTTCTTTTATTTTTCTGCTCTTTTGCTTTAGCTCAGTAGGCAGTTTAGTTTTGGAAGATCACTATAACATAGCAGATGTATTTGGACTCCTGTAAGCAAAATATCCCTCGGAGAGTAATTTTCTTTATGTCAGTTCAAAGACAGCTTATTAAACTCTATTCTGTAACTATTATGGGCTTCAGAAAAGAAAAAAAAAAAATTGGAAAGTTAAAATTTACCTTTATTTTAAACTGTCAGTTTAGTGACAACTATTGTTTGCTTTAATAGTGGTTAAACGTAGGCTGCTGCATCACTTGTGATGGGGCAATTTAGTTGTTACACAGACACAAACCATGGCAGAATTAGGTCCCTCCTGGGACATGCTGACATGCTATGACACGTGCATGACCACTGTTCTCAGCTGTAATCTGTATTTTCTACTTTTCTTGTAACTGTGAATCTGTGTCGAAGGCAGGCGCTGCAGTCAGCTACAGTGATCTTTTTCAACTAGAACGTTGCATGCCTGTCAGTGAATCAAAAATGCCCGAGAAAACCATGCCTTAGTATGTTATTCCCATGTCAGTTTGTCAAGGGATAGAGGGTGGCTCTGAAAAGCAGAATATAGAAATTCAATGTTTTGTTTGGCTTTTGCCATATTAGGATCTAATATTTATGTGTTAAGTGGTATGTTGCAGTTATTCTTTGCTTCTTTCCTCTGCTAATGTCAGAAAAATATAAGCAGTAACTAGAGGGTTAAATTCCTGCTCAACAGGCATATTTTCGGATTTAGGTTTTTGTAAGAGAGCTCGAGAGGAGCTCAGCACTTTGCAGCGGAGGGAAGCGCTGCGTGACAGAACCGAGCATCTGAGGGGAATGTGGCTCGTAGCAGACATACATGACGGGAACGAGACGCTGTACCAGCTCTTCCAGTTTTGCAGGGACCCTGTGTTTTCCAGCTGTTTACCCTTGAGATGTAAAATGGCAATTTGGCATAGGCTAACAACCCGGTGTGATGTGAGCATCTGCGTAAAAGGCTGCACATATGGAGCATGCCCAGTGATATGAACAGCCTGTTACCCCACCCCCAGCCAATCTAGGAAGAGATGAAATGAACTTTGCACTTGCAAATGTCACTGAATACATTTTGCACAGCATTTTAAAAGGTTCTCTTATAAGCACTATTTTTAACAGCCAAATCCGCCCCCCAAAACAGAAAAGAAAAGCCCTAGGTATTTTTCTGTGATCGATCTCAGTTTATGATCAATTGAGGCATCTCTCACAACATTTACCTGAAGCCTGGCTTATTTTACCTTTTTATCATTCAAGCTGAGATTTTTTGGAGGTGGTGTGGATTTTTTTGGTTTTTTGGATTTTCTTTTTTTTTTTTTTTTTTACTGGCATGAGAAAATTTGAGAATTTAATTGCAGTAGAATACTTGGAAACAGTGAGGCTGCAAGCTTGAAAGAGGGGAGAGAAGGAAGGCTCTCACAGCAGAGCATGGATAGGAAAGGAGCAGTGATTCTGCGGTGCTCAGTGTGCACATGTTTTATGAGATCAGTGCCGGGCGCTGCAGCTGCGGACAATAACTGAGCTGTCTGGCTAATGAAGGCCACCTGGATCAGGCTTCTGAAAAGAGCCAAAGGAGGACGTCTGAAGAATTCTGATATCTGTGTAAGCCCTACGTTTTCATTATTGGCATATATTATATGTATTGCAGAGAGGGAGAGAAAAAAAGACGGTGAGGAGAGGGCAGTTGTTTTCATTCTGAGTGAATTAGCAGAACTCTATTTTGTATGCAGGGAGATGCTGAGGGAAAGCAGAGCTGTCATTATTTATAGAGCTGTTCTGGCATTGTGGCTGCTTCCATTGTGGTGATACGGGGACATGTGTTGAGTCCAGACGGATTCTATTAGTTGGAAGTTGATTTGTGGTCATTTGCATGTTTTGCTGAAGGGCAGAGATGGATACGAGCCATTTGCAGTTCTGATGGGGAAAGTGTGTCAGGTAAAGAGGTTGCCCTGAAATCAAAATGGATAGCAGAGGTTAAATCTGTTAGCAGTGATATTGTGTAATGGTAATTATTGATACTGAATTTGCATTTTTATTATAAAAAGTCTGTTTCCTTGCAATACTGTCACTGTTCAGAGTTTTAATTTTTATGGAGCCATCCTTGGAGCTGCTGTGTGTCCTTCAGCCCTGCACTGCACCACTGCTGTAACTCTACAGAGCAACTGACTCTGCTTGCTGAAAAGCACCCAAATAAGAGCATGGGCATGGTGCAGGAAATAAAACACTGGGGAAGATACCTGCACTCTTGGAAAGTCTCCAGAAGAAAATATTTACCTAGACATAATTTTGCTAAGTGACTTGCCCTTTTGGGCAGTTATTTTCTTTTCAGGGACACAGAAGTAAGAGCAAAGGCAAGGTGCATAACCACTTCTACTTTTTTTTTTTTTTACTTTCTGAACACTGAAACAACTTGTGACATTATTTTTCCTTTTCTTGTGCAGGGTTCGGCGGACTCCTACACCAGCCGTCCATCCGATTCAGATGTATCTCTGGAAGAAGACAGGGAAGCAGTGCGGAGAGAGGCAGAGCGACAGGCCCAGGCACAGCTGGAAAAAGCAAAGGTAAGGTATTGCTTCATGTCACAGACTCATAAAATGTTCAGCTTTAAAGGACTGTCGTCTCATCCATTACTGTTTTTAATGTGTTAACATATAGCATAAGACCTCTTACAATGATGTTTCTGACAACAGTAGAATCACTTAGAATCAGTTTTCCGTAAAGGCACTTGATTGGCTTGCTTATTTCAGAGTAATCTTATTCAAATGTGTGCATTATTTTCTCTAATTGAATATACCTGTTTATTTGTAGTGTATGGGGTGAAAGCTTTGAGTTCTTACTGAAGATGTTTGTGGAAGTTTGCCCGTGGATTGCTATGGCACTGAAAACTTACAGTTCTATAAATCAGCCCTCACGCATCCTATTTGTCTTCGGTCCCCACAAGTCATATGTGAATAGGGAGAATCTGTGACAAAGGTCTTTACTGCCTGAAGACTTCACTGGCTTTCTTTACAGTTTGGGTGTTAAATGACCCCGTGAGTAATATGCTCTAGGACTTGTTAAGATTTCTCATTCTATCTCCATGTTCCTGGCAGATAGTGACAATTTAGTTAGGAAATACTAGATGAGCTTTGGGTTCTTGCTGTGTGTTTATATATTTTCCATGAGATGCATTTAGGACTGTGAGGGTTTTAGCAGTGAAACGGTATGGGCTTGTTTTTCTTTAATCTGTGCTGTATCTTTAAGTACTATTGCACCTGTAAAAATCATGCTCGTCTTATTTGTTATCATTTGTTTATCACCTCCTTCCAGGGTTTTTGTTTGTATGCTACCTGCCAGATCTTGGTGTATCACTGTTTTCCAAGATCTGTTTTTATTTCTCATATTTAAATACTTAAATACAACGTTTAGATCCCTCCTCAGATCTACCTGATCTAATTTCTCTCTCGCTTTTTCTCTCTGACTCCCCTCCTCCATTTTGCCTTGTTTTTTTATTTCCCTATCTGCCTTCCATCTCTCATTCTGTTTCCTTTTCCGCTGCCAGCTTTGCCTCTGCCCATTTACGCCACCTGTTTTACAAGGGTTCTTCAGAAATTCAGGAGTCCAGACCATTGAGCTATGCACCTGATCGTATTGCGAGGGCCAGCTCCATAAATAATGCAGTACTATAATGCACAAGCAGACGGTTCATCAGGCCAGAAAACTTGAACGGGGAAGCCAAAGATTTTTGTACTTTTTTTTTTTTTAAATGTAGTTATTGACCGATATTTAATAAGAGCTCCTAAAGCAGCTTTTTAATGAGATGTTGGAACTTGCTAAGAGATCCTGAACATCTCTTTGAAGTCAGGTGCTGCTGTCCTGGGATCAGTATAGCAGAAATTTGACAGAAGCAGCCCGCTTCTTCCCTTCTACCTCGTATCTTAGAGATGTTGCTGCTCGTAATCAGGAGTTTCAGTTTTATCAGGGTTGCTTTTTGCTAGTTTGAGATTTCTTTGCTCCTAGGAAAGATGATAAAGGCTGCCCTGAAATTCAGGTGGAGTGTTGAATTTTATCAGTAAACGCACAACCTTTAAAAGAAGAGTTGAAGTAATAATATCCTGCAAACTAAGCAGGGTAGCAGTACAGCACTTGCTGCTGAACTGGTGCATCTCTTAGTGATGAGTAAATCTATGTGAGTGTTGCTATGGGAATTTGGCTTACTGGTGATGGCTTGAATGCATGGACAGCCCTTATGTAATATTCATGACCTCTAGCACAGCTGCCATTGTAGTTTGTAGAGAAACTGCTAGCAGACCCTGACTTTTTAAAACTGTATTTCTATACATCAAAGCAATGTTCTCACTCCAGCTGGCATAAGATATAGTCTCTAGGTCTGACACCGTCTCAGACTGTAAGACAACTTGTGAACAGTCAAAGTAGCAAAGGCACTGCCAAAATCAACCTGCTATAACAATGGGTAATTCCAGTCATATAGAAAACACAAAATGAATTATTTAAATAATTTGTGCTTTAAAATGGATTAAAGCTGGAACTACATTCGCAGTTTTGTTTCTCGAGTCAAATGTTAAAAATCATTCCAGGCTGTAATGTATGGAAATGATTTTATGTAGAGGCTATAACAGTGTAATATTTAGTCTAGGGTAATATTGAAATTACTAATATTAAATAAAATATTATATGCATGTGGTGCTTACATTTGAAATAAATGTTTAAAAAGACATAAATTAAACCTAATGCAGTAGATCTAAAATATGACAGAGTGTGCTTCTCTGCTTTTATTGGTGACTCAGTTCTTCACCTCCCTGAAATACAGTAAAATTAATGAAGCGGTAACTTCTGTTGGTGCTGCCTGGCTCCTGTGTGCACCCAGACCTGTTTCCTGCAGGCAGCAGGTTTTGCTGCCTGCTCTCCATGGCTGCCTCTCCTTCGCCCTGAGAAAGGCAGAGCCAAGTGACGCAGGTGCTTTAACTTTTTAGCTTTTAATATTGTGAGTGGAAGTGTTGATCCTAAAGAAAGTCATTACAATTGTATTTGTCACAGGATTAGAAGAGGATGACATACATGAATAATGCAGTGGTGGAGGGAAAATGATAGTGAATTAAGGGTAGATAAAAAAACTGTTGAACTGTGTCACGCACTTAATGAAAACAGTTTAATGACATCCATTTTCCTTCCTTGCAGCTGGGGAAAACACCTTAAACTGAAGAGAAAAATATAGTAATAAAGCATGCAATGGCAACTTGTTAGGAAGATGTTAAGATTTCTAAATTTGGATTTTTATGGATTGTAAATGTTTGTGTAACATGAAGCCAGAATATAATACGCATATCTGATATATATCCAATCAAAAATAAAAAAGCTTGTAAGAAAACACACATTCTGGCCATTTTTAATTAATTTATTTATTTTATACAAGCATTGCTTCTCTGGAAAATGGTTAAGCATATTTTGCTGACTCACTCTGGCATGTGACTTACTGTAAGGAAGGTGGGGCCATGGGCGCATGTACAAGAGTTGTCCAGGGATGGAAAATTAAGAGGCAACTGATGAGGCTACCTGCAGGCCAGCAGCTATTCCCAGGGGAAACAAATCTTCAAATGAAGCTGTTAAGCTCAAAGCTGAGGTAAAATGTTCTTGGTTAGAACAGTTTAACAATGCAAATGCAGGGAGGTTGGGTTTTGTTTTGGTTTGGGTTTTTTTGTTTTGTTTTGTTGGTTTTGGGGGGTTTTGTTTGGTTGGTTTTTAAAAAAGAAAAAAAAAACCCTTCAAGGAACTGAGGATTTCCTGGGAATCCTCCTCATAGTCCATAGCATGTGGCTGTCTCTAGAATAAAGAGACCTGCATTGTGGCTGAGTAGGGTGCCCTAATAATGCCCAAATCTAAGGACATGTACTGCTATTTTACTGCATTTCCTGTTTTCATAAAAACATGAATCTTAAGAATTCACCAGCCAAAACATAAATAAGAAGTCCAATGACATTAATTGGTTTTAGTGCTAATGTATTAAAAATTGTCATTTCTACAGAAAAAAGCTTTTTAGTTTTGAAGGGTGAGGATTAAATATAAATGATAATAAGTAAAGATTTTTTTTGTCCATTCTTTTCAAGTATTCAATTAATTATCCCTTAAAATATTGCACCAAGTGAGAGGGATGAGATCAAAGGAAAACTGTGAGGTACAAGTATTAGCGAGACCTTAAAATTCAGTACGAGATGAGTTAAAGTTTGTACACAAGAAAGGGGACTTCAGTAATGATTTTTGGCCCTCTCCAATGCCAGTAAAATCAATTCAATTATTCTATTGATTTATTTTGCCTCAAGCACATCATATGTTGTGAACTAGTTTTTAACTGAAATACCATTAGTAAGGTGGTCTGTAAACCTCCCTCTTCTCTTCTGCAAGAGTACCTTCTTTCTTCTTTTCAGTTTCCTCTCTTCAAATTTTTAGATTTTGCCTCTTTATTTTTTCTCCCATGGCTTTAGAGCTCCTTATGCAGAAACAGTGTTCAAATGAGATATATAGAATATTTTCAGCATTTTGGAAAAAGAAATAATTGTCTTAGTTGTTTCTAGTACCTTGGTTACTAAATGTGCCAGTTAATAATCCAGGTTTTGTTTCTCACCTGGGACTAAGGGACAGCCCTATGCTATTTGTTCTCTGTTAAGGATTGGTCTCAACATCCTTTGGTCCTGAAACTTCTTAAATGGCTGTCAAAGCTGGATTGTGGCCTTCCAGAAGTCAGTAATTGTGCCCGTAATAGGAAATCTCAGTTCCTCTCAGCTCTGCTTTGTTTGCACTCCACCTAATGCTCTATAGCTAGGATCCTTTTAGGAGTTTGTTAAAACTTAGAAATATCCATAGTCCTAGTTTAGAATGCCATTTAAATGATTTTTAGGTTAAGATGGTGAACCACTGAAATTTTGATACCAGACACCCTTTTGTTGGCTCTTAGACAACAATATAAACTGTCATGTTTTGCTTTCTTGATGTGTGCTTTTAGTAGTGGCAATGGCTTGTGACTGTGAGAAATAATGCAATGTCTTAAGTGTAATGCATTGCTTCCATGCATGGGTTGGGGACCACAGCTTTGAAACATGTAGCAGGCTGGGATAATGCCTACATAGCCCTGCAAGGCTGAAGGCATGAAAAAGATTGTCAGATGTAATTATCCAGTGCAGTGTGCCAAAACTACTTATTTGAGTATTTATTCACTCTCAGACAGGTTTTGCAGTCTCTGAATGACCCCATGCTGCTAGCAGGCAGCTGCAAAGCTAGTTAAGGTATGTCTCCTTAAGCCATAGTAGCATTTTTGACAGACCAGGAGTGCCCATCACCTTGATGTGTGTCCTTATATTATGTCAGTTTGTTCCATCATGGAGACTCTTTCTGTTTTCTCTCAATTATGAGAACATCATGGCGCTGAACAGCACCCAAAGCCATAGCAGCATAGGATAGTACTTTGTGTTAGCTCTTGTGTATGGTAATATTTTTTTCATTGATTTCTTCTCATTTGCCCTTTTGTTTTAGAATCCTTCCATTGCATGTTATCATTTAGATAGCTAAT